TTATTATTACATACTATGTATTATTTGTAAATAARTATTAAAAGAGCGTCCTTTACGCGCGTTCAATTTATATTCTGTAACTACCCTCAATGTCATTAAAAAAAACATATTTCATTATTCAACTTAACGAGTCGATCATTTTTACGAATATAATTTAAAAATATTGTATACATTTCTAAAGCATGCACTACAATGTGTAGTTTAATTTTTGCATTTTTTCGTTTTCCAAAACGGAAATATGAATTTATTCAACCACAAACCTACACGGGTAGTTATTTTATTTAATAATAATAATATAAAACCATGTACGAAAATATGCGGGACCCCSATATGATTTATAAATTCAAAGCTATTCATGTCTGAGCTAACGATCATTTCAATATTTGAATACAAAACTATTAATACGTTTAATATATTTGCAAGCATTATTGCCTATCATAATATTGTATGCAAGTATAATAAATAATAATATAACATAAATCTAAAACCAAATATCGATAATCGGCTTAAAAAAAAATTGTTACTACTTAAAAATATATTGTTATAAAATAGTTTTTATAGAAATATTACTTCATACATTGTTTGAGTATTTTTTTCGCACGATACGTATATACGTAATATTATAATGACGCATAATTACTATAATTTTGTCGGTGGATGATAGATAGGAAGAATAAAAAAGTACTTTTTAATTTGTCGGCAGACGCGTATTACTACTGCACGAATATACGACGGACCTCCGGTGGYGTGGGGCACTTCCTGGGTGTTTTCTCTGTTGCCGCTCTATATTATATCAATTATTAATAATATATATCGTGTGACAAGTGTCCTAAAAAGACAAAAACCGTCGTCGCCCGGACGTAAGACACCGCGTGGCGTCATCTACTGCGACGGATAACATCTCGGATACGCTGTTCGTTATGTCTCGTTGATGTTTTAATTGAGTTTTCTCACAGTAATTATTTAAAAACTCCCAAGTGGAGRAAAAATAATAACACATAAGCTAAGCCTATTTGAGGGTAGCAAATTATTATTATTTACTAAGCCGTTATCTGTTTCTTTCTTTATCTTATTTTATTCATCGTCATATTTTTATTTATTTAACATGTAAGCTGATATACCTACTATATACTTTTCCTATGTWTATATTYATGTACGTATATACTCTTTGAAGTACTATTATGTATTTATTCGCAAAAATATATATTATCATATTATTGTATACTTGACGTTTGCCTCGCGCGTATTACCCCGTTTGWTCAATTAATCATATAACGGCAACGTATACGATGATTATCTGCATTTATAGACTTCCCGTCGAGCGCCTGTTCCTATACGGACAACGAACACAAACAATTGCAAATCCGCAAAACAAGTACGCGAACATCGTCGGGGTGGCATGTGTGTTTATATCATTATGACTATTACTATTATTATATTTWCCTCTATACCTCCACTCTTCCACTCGCTGCACGTTCGTAGTGCATGACTGGTAATTTTTCGGATAAATCCCATCGATTGTGAAGCCGATCTCCGATGCACATTGCACTCTATCCCTCTCGAAACAACGTATATTATGATGGGCGCCGCWACCTAATATATTGATACGTTATTCGATATTCGGAAATATTATAACCGTAATACGGGAGTACTACGGTCTATACCAACGTGCGGGGGTATATCTGCAGGCTAAGGGGTGGAAAACGGTAAAATTACCATAGGGGTGTCTATATTGTACCGTCCGCTGCAAGTCTGATGTGGCTTAAATACGTGTCGGTGAGCTTTAATAATATGGCGTTTCCTACCCTGCACATACACAAACCTACGTATATACATTATCGAACAGCCACGGAGTTTCCGGTCCATGTACGCACGCGGCGTGTGTATGATGGATATGCAACGCATTTATATATTATATTATAATATTATAAACGCATACGCGCGATAACGGCCAGCTCGAGCCTGTAGTGTAGTATATACCTTTACTGATGGTGGCATTCAAATTCACAGTGACGGATCTGATGTAAAAAAAAAAAAACATAAAATAAATAAAACCGAAAAAACACGCCCGTAAACCACCTGCGCCCGCGATCGCACACCTGTTTCGGACGTCCGAGACTCAATTTAACACGATGATTTCCAGCGCTATTGTTATATCGGTTTTCACCATTGCCGCCGCCGTCGTCGCCCGTTTTGCTATTAACCAACAACGCCGTCGTATCCGTCCGCGGCCGACGGGGGGCCTCGACTGATGGGACATACGGCGAATGGCCATATATACATAAAAAGCAAAAGTCTTTAACGATAAATAAMACACACACACACGAACCTGTATACATATTATAAATGGTATATGTGTGTCGAAAGCAATTTATCCGGTCTTTATAAGACGCTATATGTGTTCATTGAGCAATTATTATTATTATTATCATGATTGTATATGACCTACACCTAGGTCGCTATAATTTTTAAATTGGTCGTAATAACTTCCGACGACGGTTATATACTAATTTATACACCACTCCCCCCCCCCCATAAACGCGAGCACCGACAGCTCCACCGGAAAAAACGGATTTCACGATCGTAATTAGTAATTACCGTCGAAACCGTTTTCCATCCCTATCGATTTGGACATTATTTTTTATACATTTAATGTTTTAATAATATTATTAAATAATATATATAATGTATATTACCTATATGCCTAACTAAGTTAAGGAACAAATTTGTTTCATTATTATTACTCGACTGGCGTTTTGTCGAAACGTTTTTTCACGATTACGATCCAAATATGTTCGTACTATAGCTCTACTCGACGCAGTATAATGTTATATAATGTTATAATAATGTAAAGTCCTACATTCGAGTACAATAATTTTTTATTACGGTTATTAAGATTATGTATAAAAGTTGAAATTCGTAATCTTTTTATGTATTATTTATTTCGTATAAAATAACCACAGGAATTATTATAAAATATAATTATGGTAATATAAATCATGTTACTAATTTGCTTTATATCTTATATTTTTATAATTGTTATCTACATAAATTCTACATAGTACGACGACAAGGTTTTCAAAAATAAACACACAAATTTGAATATAATAACATGTTATCGATCTTTCAATATTAGGTACATACGTATCATTTTCGTGTAAATGAAGTGATAATTAGCGTCGTAAAAATAACCATGTACACGCATATATACGCATAGGCACATTATCTTAATCTGAATTTTATATTTTATAGGTACAAATGACTAATGAATAATGATATGCATACAATCATTTTAAATGCATTATAATATATGGTTTACGTACGAAAATTATTTAAATGACTTAAGACGATATTTAGCGGATTCATCACCTGTATTTTTTTTTTTTTTTACTTATTATTGAATTTATTCACCCGTCAATTGTTGTTCTGGTCACTGAGTTCAATGCAATCATATATTTATATTACCACCAATGTATCTACATTTTTAATACGGGTACAGAACGCACTGGAAACAATCCKGGCCCTAATAGATTTATTTAAAACAACTATTGTTGTACATAGGTTCAATTTTTATTATTTGTTAGGTAACATATRATATATTATTATAGTCATGAGTCATTAGATCTATCAAATGACAAATTCTAGATTTCACCCGAGTAAGCTCGGTCAGTYGAGTGCGGATGAGCGATGAACACTATCAAAACATGAACATTATTATCGAATATAACTGGTGTTAGGTTATGTATCGTTTACGTATTTACGATCTTATAATTTAAATATAATACAAAAACGAAATAATAAAATTAATATATATTATACAATGTCGTTTGTGTGACAATGTCTACTGTGAGTTTGTCACGTATCGCGAATATTGTTCTACAGATTGTAATTAGATGCGTCGGGACTAAGCGAGCCGTGAAAATGYCGTATTCAAAGGGTATCTTTTTTCGCTTTTTTTGTATCAGTTTTTATTTCCGCACGAACTGATCGCTGATTTACGACGGTTGATTGCTCACAAAAGACACGGTGATCGCTCACAAAAGAATACGTCTAAGTGGCCCGGTTAGGAATCCATGGGAGAATATGTATCGGTATTATTTTGCGCCGAGGATGGTCGTATACCTGGAAATTTATGAGCTCGACGCAAAGGGGTTGGTGCGACTTTGAAAGGGAGAATCGAAAAAACACCTACTTGTTACCGAGTAAAATGTATATATGCGCGTGATGTACCACGCCGAGGAGATATGTATGATGAAAAACTGCGACAAAGAAATAGAGTGGTGTGTACGGCACCACCTATTGTTCTAGGGTGAAAAAAAAATGGACGAAAGAGTACCTATTTTTTTATTCACATATGTACCTATATAAATGCATTTTATATGTACCTACCCTTGAAATAGAGCGGTTTTTATTCCACCTCTCCCCGCCACCGTCGCCGTCGTTCAGTGGCAGATAATATGCTAATAAGTCACTCATACATGTATATACCGCACGGTTGTCACGACAACGGACTGTGGTATAGATCATTTCTCGTTTCCAAACGACTAAATCGGTTATGGGTCGATACGTCGCTTACATGTACTCATATGCTAAGTAGGCGATAAACAATGYAATTCAATTTCCGGAACCGCCTGTAATAAATAAATAAATAATGACGTTAACCGGAAACCTGGTGCTGTACCTAACTGACGTCGTCAGTTTATTATCTCACCGTATATTTTTTTTAATTCTTCCAACTATTGCTATTATTATGGTTAATTGTGTGACCGAGAGTTTGCCTAATTGAGTGATTCGTATAGGGATTATAATATAATATTATGCAAGATTGATCGACGTCCGAAAAAAACGAAATAATCTACACCGCGACAACGTGTGAATTGAATACTCGACACGATCCACAATAATCCACAATACCCATAGGCCATCATAATTCTTTCAGCAGTTTTTATATTCATGCAATTTATTTTGTTTTTCRCACCTACAGATAACCACCATTGGCAATGTTAAAGTGGACCGTAGCCGGACAGAGGGGTGGGGGAACGGCGACGTGGAGACAGACAGCGACGGCCGACGAATCACCGCCGTGTTTTTCAGAAAAGCCACGGCGAAGACGACCGTCCAGGATGTCGGGAAAGCATGACAAGGAAAACGCTGAATGTGTGGTAAGTTAAACAGTTGATAATTTTCTGTATAACAGTTTAGCAGATAGTACCAACATAAAATATAAGAGATATTATATGATGCGCATATATAATAAAATATATATTTATGTCTAAACAGTTTAAGGTTTTGGAATTAAAAGAATTTAATAGGTACTTTTACATTAAATGAAACAATAAAACATGAAGAGATTTTATATTATTTTCGTGAAGTGATATTTTCACGCAGAGATATGGTGAATATGCGTAATAGATAGTAACAAAAAGTTCATTATAATATATAATGTATATAAGTATAACATGGTTGTGTGCAAAACATAAAAAATGTACCTACCTATATACCTATTTATAACTTTAATATTATAAGTGGCATATTTATTCGGATGTCCATCACGCTCTTTCAGCTCATACTGTTCTAAATCCCAAAGGAAATTTCGTTAAGCATTTTAACTATCATCGTTAAATTTATTCTCTGAATATTATACGCAAAATGCGCATAAACATCGTTTAGGACTATATTATACAATCGATAGACCGGATGAAGCTGCACAGTTAATTTATTATAATGTGCGTTAGAGAATTATATAATTTAGTATTSTGCACAATTTATTCGTCCCATAAAACTCATAAGTATTCTGGTGTATATTTTATTAAAATTTTTTACGCTAGTTTCTTTTTTTTTTATAACATGACTTTATACAGCAAAAATTAAATTGTAATTTGTACATAATATATATAAATAGTACCTATGCAGCGTATTTGCGTTTGTATATCATACTATAAAATGCAAATAAACAACTAGATAACTCTAACGATTCAATTGCGCACATTGTTTGGCAAAAAAAATCTTGTACAGTATTTTGTTTTGCGTATACCAACTTGTAACTCCTTTAACATTTGGCGTTATAACCATTTTATTTTTTTCGTACATAGGACGTGATGACACCAACAACGAAGACTTGTCGTCGACGTCGCCGGGAAAGCTTGAGAGACGTGAGCAACCACAACAGTCCGGTGGTGCCGGCGTTGCAGATGTCACCAGGCAGCAGACGAACGAAAAGTCCGTGCACGGAAGTCCATTGGATGCCTGTGCAAAAGAGGTGAGAGACATCGTAACTTTTACGAGGATTGCACGAGTTGGGAATCGATAAATCCTCAAAAATATGTCAAATGTTATGATTTTGTGACTTTTGTGCGAACGGTTATTCGCCAAGTCAATAAATTAATACCTGTCACGCGTATGTAGTCCGGATTTTTAGCATACCAACGTCTATAATCGTTATAAACTTCATTAGACAAATTATTAGTTATTGTAGACAGTAGACTGTACACTTAAAGGAAATTTCACACTTCTCYGTGAACGGTGCGAACCATGTTTTCCGGAAAAAAAATTATCAGTGATATCACAAAGCTATGAAAATTATGGTATATGATGGTAACTGGTTTCTTGTTATCACATTGACACAATCACCAGCTGTCAATTCAATTTTTGATTTGATAATTATATTCTTAATCAGTGACCACATAATTGTAAACATTAATTTGAATAGAATTCGATTCTGAAATATAACATGGTTTAAACTTAAAAACATTGTGGTTAACCGCTATAATAGGTAACCACAAGATTCAACCGATCACAGCGCTGAATTTTTTTTCCGGAAATACCGTACACGAATAAGTGTGAATTAGTTACTTTAACAGTTCCAAATGTGCGTGCATCTAACTGTACGTATCACAGTTTTCAACCATTCGCTATTTCATTATGATCATTTAACACGATAAACGGAATAACATGAACAACATTAGTAAATGGTTTGCCAATTATTAGCCATACAATATTTTTGGCTCCAGGCACCTTATACATAGATTAAAACCGACTTTTCACGTATGTATAATAATATGTATTATTATCTCATTAACTGCTCTAAGGCATAATCACAGAACAATAATAATAATAAAAAATAAAATAATAATTGGCATAATACAATAACGATGATAATTTTATTATATTCTACTTGTGTTAMAGCCAAATCCCGGTAAATGTATCGCAAATAATCGAGCTCGAATAAACCGCACGATYGCCGGAAACACGCGATATTGTTTTGTCATAATAACTTTATTAATTGTATATATAATACCTATATATATATACCTATGACCGCACGCAATTACATAAACCGCGACACGGTAGATTTACCAGTGTAATGAATAATGATATTCGTATACTCGATAAACACGTTATTGTTTGTTTTTTTTTTTTTATAACATCTCCGGGATTATCATTTTTGGATTTAATATATAGCTATGATTTTCATATCGTAAAAAATTAAAATCTTCGCTTTATTGTCATCCTCTAATTCCTATGACCAATTATTATGCATGCATGACAGACTAATCGATAGTTCGTTTAATACACATAAATAACGTTTAATTTTACGTGGTAAACCAGTTGTAAGGACCTTTATTACCAAACAAAAACAATTTTTTTTCTCAGAAAAGTTCTGAACAGAAGTCCTTACGCTGTTCTAAGATTATCATCGTGTATTAAAGTAAATTTTAACCTAATAATATATATTATTCTTCCACAGGCGATCCGGTAACGATATATGTTGGACGGACGACAAGGTGAAGCGGAAAAAGCCGTGTACGGCCGACCACGTGATTTCTACGGCGTACGAGGCTGTCGCGACGTTAGCCTCCACACCAACAGTAGAATTTACCTCCACCGTCACCGTCACCTCCATAGCCGACGAGCAGCTATGCGTGTCCATGTCCCCTGCCGAAGAACCAGTTCAGCTGTCACACAAACAATTGCCCGCGCTACTTATGGGTCAGCCTCGCACTCAGGCTGATCTGCGGGCATCCAGGCTGATCGATCGGTACGTGGATCAGATCAACATGGACGACGTTACGTTCGTCCGTGGAAACAGCGATCGGCTCAGCATCGTTTCGCCCCTGGCCAAACGACTGGCGGAGATCCGGTTACGGCGAACTCCCGGGACAACGACRGCGACGGCGACGACGACGGAGACCTGCAAACGAAAACGATCTTCGACCGACTGCGAAGACGAATGGCCGGAGACGCCGATCGCCGGCAAAAAACGGCCCATCGCCTCGTGGTGGTGGCAGTGTTCGGGCGTCGGTGGCGGTGGTCTCACTCTGCCGGAGGACTTGCCTAGTCCGTTCCACTCAACGCTCAACCGTCACCGCGTCGGCGGCCCACTTCACCAGCGGCGAATCGGGACGCCCAGCCCCATAACACCGCTTCACCGGCAGTCGGCCGCCGACGATTCTGACGACTATTGGAAAACGCCCGTCGGACCCTCATTGGCCACCGGCGTCCGCGCCGACCGGCTGCTGTCCACCACGTCGTCCACAACCGTCGATGACGAGATCATTTGCTGCAGTGATCCTCGCAGTCCGGCCGTAATGGACGAAACTTTCACGCTCAAGTCTCGTAGATGTTTGTCTTTCGTTTCGCCGCCACCGTCTGCGTCTGATTCGTCAGCCAAAAAGCGAAACCGGAAGTCACTAAAAAAACCATCCTCTGCCACCGCCGACAAAGGTACGTCGTACGTATTGTATATAAACACGGCAAATAAATGGCAATTTGCAGTTTCGCATCGAGCCATTTTATGCGGTAACAAGTGCATAATATAAGCTTTTTATTATATATTATTATAATATATACTAATATTATCCCTATACTATTTATAATAGGTATATCTAACACAAAGATTTGAATACGTAGAAGTAATTTTAATTTACCAATAATAATTAGTGATTTCTAATAGTAGGTGACCTTTTGCATTTTATGACGAAAATCAATTCAAAATATATATTCAATGTGATTTTGAGTGATGATTATTGCAATTATTGCCGGATTCATGTTTCTGACCAGAATATTTGGCTGCGATTGCATATATTAGAGTTTAATCTTAATAATTTTTTGTTTAGCTTCCGGCCTAGAAGTATGTATTGAATTGAAAGACTCGACACATTTAACCGTATTACGTAAGTATATATATATAATATATATATATTCAGCATATTTACTTTTAAACTGTTTTGCCTTTTACCTGCATTGTTTAACAAACAAACTTTTGATTGCTTTTGGTTCTGTAGTCAAAAGAGGCAGAAATCTGGTGTGTGCAGATGGTGAACCGCCAAACACTTATATAAAGGTAAGTTTACTGCCGTGGTGCTATTGTTTGCTTAAATTGAATATTATATTAACTTGAGATTATTATTATACAGGTTTACTTGGTACCCGGCAAAGGAACTTGCCACAAAACCCGAGTGCGTCACAATTCTACCAACCCTCGTTTCGAAGAATCCTTCTCCGTACCACTTTCTGAGGAAGATCTGGACAAGAGAATATTGATATCCGCTTGGCACCGAGACAGATCCAAAAGGTAATACTATATATCAACATAYGATATATATTATAATGCCTAATAATATACTGTTTTGAATTTAAATGTTTGAGAAATTTGCCCACGATATTTTACAAAATCCATTGTTTTACTTTATCGTAACATTATTTCAAATAAGCCCTTTTCAATTTTTAATTTATTCCGAAATTCACGATTTTAATAATTAATAATAAATATAGATATACCTACTATTACATTAACTCGAATAATTTACGCGGTCCAACGTTGAGATTACGCACACACATACGTGTTTATATTATTCACGCTATGAACAAAAGTTAAGTAAATTATTTTTAAAAGTTTTATGATTCGAGTTCCTGTTTTATTTGAAGTGTATATCAAAACTCAAGACTTGAAACATACATACAAACATACAAATACACGTGCGCGCACACATACATGTGATATGGCTTTCAGAGTGAATTTAGAAACGTCTTTCGATCGTCTCTTCAGTTTCTATTTGAGGATAATTGATTGTTATTGTTTAGCGAAACAACTATATATATATGCTTATATTAAGGCCGACGCACACTTACAGCCATTGATGTTTTATATATACAACGCAACACACCCGTCCAATCCTATTATGAACTTCTATAATAAACTTTGCAGCAGTACAAGGTATATATATTATATAGTGTACTTCCGAATCCGATACGCTTGCCGACGTTTTATCGAAGATTATCCAATTTTCGTTGTGTATTACACGCACGTTCCAATGGAATATATGTTGGTTGSAACTGTAAATTATAACCACAAGCCGTGCTTCAACTTTCGATCTGAAGTCTCAAATTACCGATACGAAGTGTCGATTGACCGATACGAAACGTGCCCGATGCCCCGATACCTACGAAATCATACTGAAAAACAGTAACCACGATCGTTCACGTATCAGTCGTAGGTTATACATAACTGCAATGTTGACAAAGATGATTAAATATTGCTAATTAGTAATTACTAATTAATATGGTTCAGATATGATAAATGGGTCAATCGAATAAACGTAAGACGAGAGATCACCTTGGAGGAATTGCACTATATAATATTATAATCCCAACCGCTGAAAAATTGTGATACGCTAAAAAGAAATACCCCGAGAAGATTTCTAAGGCAAAACGTTGTCACTCGCGCGTATTAATCTGCTACAGCAGTTATTATTATAATATTATTATAATAGTCGAATCACCATATACATAATAATAATAATAATAATATGTATGACGGTCGCATATATAATATTCGTTTCCACTACGGTGGCGGGTACCTATACATATATATAATATAATCATTTATAAATACAAAATCCTATTCACTTATAAAATTATAATGGTATACCGTTTGAACACCATTTCTATATAACACTGCAGTACCTACATAAGAGACGGCGTAATTGTTTGTGCGAACTTGACTTTACGTGCGTCGATAAAAGAAGGGTCGTGCCGTAATAATAATAATATTATAATATTCATTATTCTTCGGCATACGTGTATGTGTGTGTGTGTGTGTGTGTGTGCGTATATATATGTGTGCACAACAATAATATTAATAATTAATATAACTACACGGATATTACACATCACAGAGGCGTCGGTTACGTCAGATTATGAAACGGTCCCGGCGGCGGCTGAAGCGCGTCATGTCATATTTTATTATATTAATATACCAATGCTCATTGCTCAGTCGTGTGTATTTGTTGGAAAATTATATTATACCACGGTATAACTATGCATTAAACGCATAATTTTATATTGAATTATATCGATTTGGTTTGGCCACCCGGTAAACTCGATTTTGTGATTGCAGTCGAGAGACCGGAGATCGCGGTATAGATATACTGCATGGTTAAGGGGTAGGTATATAATACATGGTCATTTTCACACACACGGCGATCATTGATCGCGGCCGAAAACGCAATTAAACAATTATACCATCTGCAAGTACAGTTTTCGTGTCATTCCACCAACCTGACCCTAACGTGCTAGATCCCAAGAGACCATTTCAAAGAGCACCACCGTATATCATCATCAATATATTACAATTATATTATCATAATCCTCGCCGATGATAATTTTTTTCTCCTTCTAAATTTCAAACCGACCAGAATTTGTCCGACCATTATTCATTGGACCGCCGACGCCGAGAACGACGACATGTCCTCTGGTACGGCGAAACGTGAATGAAAATATCGACTCAGCTCCGACGAAAACGAAAAAAAAAATTATTCAGTGTTGAGTGTATGATATTAGCACGTTATGACCACCATACGAAAACGACGGCGGCGACTTACCCTCGCGCGTCACGCTGTTTATTATTATTTTTTTCCATCTTCCCCCGCGTTGGCGGTCCGATTTGCATTCACTGTACGACCTATCGTAACCACCGGCGTCGTTTCGAGGGATGCTGCCGCCGTGCCGTGTCSGGGGGTGGGTGATGGGATGGAGGTTGTGAAGTGTAAGACGGGGCTGCTGGGGGAGGTGTGGTGGCCGATCGATCCCGTGCACACCGCGAACGGCAAACGTTCAGCGGACGAAACAAGCCGAGCCAGTCGTTTCTCGTCCGTTCGGAAAGCCGCCGGTTCGTTATCGTTTTTTTAACTTTTTTTATTAGTTTTTTGAACATTTTTCTCGACGTTTCAYGAAGTMTACAAAATCATAACGATACTCTATTTTTATAACACGCTTACGAAATATTACAACGCATWTGTATTATACAAACTATAATATAATAATATAGACGGCGTCATCTTCCATACTCGCGACGACATCTCGACTTTACACGAACACATTATTTTATTCATATAATACCGTTTATTTGTTTTACACAGGAGAAGCGAATTCCTGGGCTACATGTCGTTTGCAGTGAAAAACGTACTCAAAAAAGTAAGTCATTGCGTGTATACATAATATTAATGTAGTTATTGTGCAATAATATTATATTTTAAACATTGAACGGGATCGTGCAGACAAAAATGCGACGGAACATCGCGACGATATAAAGATCACGTATTAGTGTTTTTATATAATATTAAATTTGTTTGGCGGCGAATCTATCACAAAATTATCGTGTCGCTAATTATTAAATTTTCGATTAAAACGGAACAATAGATACTGCTATATAAATCGCGAGTAAATGCGCTATTTGACGAAGCTCTTCAAGTGTCGAGAGCCCATTGAAATGTATATAGCCCTTCTTTTTATAATGTGACACTTCCAATATGAGATATACATATAAAAATAATAATAATACTAACTACAGTGAACGATGATGAGAGTATTTAAAACGTTTGACCCAATTATAAATATTTTTAGTGATTTATCGTTGCCGCTAGTTATATAAACAAATAATTTAAATAACTTATTCTGATTGACTGTTTTTTCTTCTTCAGGAAATAAACGGTACGTTCAAACTCGTACCACAAAGTCCTGGGCGAATGCCACCGCACTCGACTCCGGCTCATCGACCACAAGGTCAGTATATCATATTTTACAATATATAGCAAATACCTAAATACCTATATGTCTCGAGTTCCTGTTCTACTGAATATTATTTAACCGTATTTTGCTTTTTAGACCTTACCGTGGTTAAGACCGTACACTGCAGTACTGATGACGATGAAGAAGACATCATGATTGATGACGAAACTACACCCAGTAACCATTCAGGTGAGTGGTCTGTTATGWGGACATATGAATGACGTAAAAACGTCAATAATCGTAGTGTGAAAAATTAATCGTTGTTTTTGTTTTTTTTTAGTCTCCGTCAAGGTAAAATCTAGTCAGAAGCCAAAAAAAGACACACTGATCACTAAAACGGGTAAGTTTGCCCTATATAGTAAACTTATTTCACAACTTATTGTTGACCGGTCTGTGTTCTAATTTGCGTAATGCGTTCAATATTATTCACAGCACCTTAAACTGTTTCTCTCACGCGATCGGGTTTATAACAATAACTCGAACGACATGTAATTTGCATGTTCATCTATATAAGTTATGGGGCATTTATTTTAAGTTAACATGTATTTCAATTCATTTGATAATGATAAACATTAATTACATAAAACAGTCGAAGATTTCTCACATTCGTTTTAGACGCGTGCTTCGACTAATCGATTATAAGTAATTATGTATTAGTAATTATATTTTTATACATTTTTCAGGCAATGAAGAAAACAAATTCTTGCAATATCTGGAGTTGGACCCACCGCTGTCGTCCAATAAGGATGGCAAAAGCGGCAGAACTCCTTTCACGATTACCAAACGGTTGTCGAAACCCTCGGGATCCAGTTTTGGATTTTCCATAGCGTGGACACACCCCCCGAGGTAAGAACATGCGCGAACTAATAAGTCATTTTTTCAGTAACAACACCGGATATTTGCCAAAATAAATTACATTTCTTTTTTCTCGTGTGTAGGGTGGAAAGAGTGGAGTGCGGTTTGCCTGCGGACCAAGCGGATCTGAAGCCTGGAGATTATGTAGTGTTTATCAATAAAACTAACGTAGTGATGATGGCTGAAGACGACGTCATGGAATTGATTAAGTAAGTTTATTTTTGTTCATCCGGTGATTTATTTTTACGATAGGTACCTGAACCTAACAGTTCTAGAATGAGAAATGAGGGAAATCAGAGTCAAGGATCTTATTTTTTTTTATTTACATACTTACAATCGTCCTAATATAATAGCATGAGACTTAAYTAACAGTTAAACTAAAGCTGCTATAGTTTGTACATTTTATAAAAGTACTTTATTTCTCTTGAATTTAATGCAAATTATAAAACAATTTATATATATTAAAAATTTAAAAATAACGAAATCTCTAGAAGTTTAATATAATAAATATGAAGATCAAATWATTATTATTTTAAGGTTATTTGAAACTGWWTTTTTTCTCTGTACATGTCCCGTAACGGTAAGTACCTATACACGCATACAATTCAGAACTTAATTGAATACTAGGTTCTCCTTTTAAAGACAAACGACATAAGTTAATTTTGAAAACCTTTGTTAAAATATACAACTAACAACTAACGTTTAATTAAAATTACAACCTTGTTATAATGCGATTAATTTTAATAACCTAAATTACTTATGGTGGGATAATCTTTCTCTTAAGTCCTGTTAAATTACAACAATAAAACGTCACAGAAATGGGAAAAATCTTGCATCTCTTACGTTTGGAACGAAAAGCGAATTAAGTCACAGTGATTATACACACTATATAAACACTAAAAACAATTTAATATAATATGAATAAAATCAGTAATCATTATAATAAATTAGATAAAAAATTGATTTCTCCGTCAATCTACATAGCCACATAGGTATTTAATGAATAATGATACACATAATATATAATATTATATACGTAGAGTGATGCTTTGAATAACGTTTAACACAAAATKTATTTATTTTTTCCCCACAAGAGATTACTTTAAACGTTTGAAACAATCACTTAAGTTTTTAGCTATCCATCAAACACGATAATGTTAAATTTATTGTCGATGTACTTTGTCTCATATTATTCAATGTGTATAACCTATAGTGCGTGTTTKCCGCGACAGTAATAAATTGTGGCATTATTCGGGATAAAATAAAAAAATGGTGGCATACGTTCTMCATTATTTTGGTGTGTAAAGAATTTCTAAAGACTCGTACATGTAGTATGACAGAGATCTTTTGACTTTTCCGCAACAAGTGTATAGAAAACACCATTATTCAACTTTCAGCATATCGCGATGTCTGCTTGTTTCAAAGAATAAAACCGTTTGTTTTCGAGCCCATAAAAAATAAAAATTATACACGTACACCAAAAGAACACGAAAATCGCTCGTACAATAATATCCGACGTCCTGATCAGTGGCGGTTTTTAAACACTAAGTAAAAATATGGAGATATAGATTTTTATACATATACTTATAATAATTGTTGATCGATCTCGTCTGTTGATTTAGGTAGWGAATTCCTACACTGCATGCGTGCTTTAAAATATCTGTAGTTTATTTTTTTTTATAAATTCAGGCAGATTTTATTGAAAATGTAAATAATATAAGTAATGGTTGATATAACTATTATTACGAAAAGTACCTACATATTTTCATCATTGGAGAAATATAGGTCACTCGCCCGAATGAATTGTATCCCCACCGGCATATATAGTGACCTATATATCTACCTTATATACTTTATCTTTAATTCGTATAAGATTATATTACGTTTTATTGATATTATTCGATTAATAAAGTAATCTACTATACTATAAAACCTTTTCGACTTCTTTTGTATAAGGAGACTGAAGAGTGTGTTTCACGCTTTTCAGCGACATTAATTATAAGTTCGAAGTAAAAATATATCGAATTAGATATTTTATCAAAACTTCTATAATATGAAATAAGTTATTTATTGTATTATGTTTTTATTTTGTACTCGTAAATTATTAGCATAGAAACTTGTTGTGATCACCGTGTGTGTGTTTTTCCTTACCTCGTATTATTATTATTGTAAAGTGTGTTTCAAACTATTTTCTCAAAATCGATCTTATAACTAGGTAAATATTATTAAAGAAAATAGATATATACGTGAGCACTTAGAGCGCTTCTAAATTTTATCAACAAACGAATTTAAAAACAATTTATCTGAAAAATTCATTATTATACTCATATTTTAAATTCGTTTTTTATTTGACATCCATGAGTAAAATCTAAATATAAATTGAACACAACGATGTAAATATTATTATATAATTTAAATTTGGCGCYATGAATTTATTTTTATTATATTTTATCACAATCCTCGCACAGCGGTTACATTTCAAACAGATAAACTGGACAGTTRTAGTAGATTTCAATGTTGTACACTAGTATACTAAAAAATATTTATGTTTTTGAAATGAATAATATTATCAATATTGTACGATTGAGAACGTTTTACCTTCTTAGCAACACGATTGAGAACGATTGGCGGCAGATCAAAGAAACAATATTTTGTACCTTAAAATCAAACGATTGAGAACGATTTTTCGAGCGACGTTGTCATTTATTTTAAATTTTAGTAATAATTTTTAGGGCTGGGATTTTGATCCAAGGGCATATTTTTTTTGGTGTTTTGAAATGTTACTGATTAAAACTGATTTTTTTTTTTGCATTTCTTGACAAAATTCACCTTAAATTTGTTTATAAAGTGAACAAACATTTTTGCGATTAACAAAAGACTTTCGGCATGTTTGATTTGGATTTTGGATTTTTTTTAATTTTTAATCTTAAACTGACAAATATAAATATAAATATGTTGTAAATAAATATTAATTTTAATCTTAAAAAATGCCTTAAGCTGACAAATAAGTGATAAATGTATTGATTTTACAATGATGTGTGTGTGTTATATTTTATATTTTTAATTATTGTGGCAACGTCGCATAAAAGTTAGTGGGTAAAAACGTTCTCACTCGTGTTATTAAAAAAGGTACGGCGGATAAGGACCATTCTCAATCGTGTTCTAGCCAATATTATATAGGTGAACAATTTTAGACCAATCGGGAGAGGAAATAATTGGTTAGAAAATATGATATGAGCACCCATATACTTGGATCCTCAAATAAAAATAAACCTCTGTACCTATGTGGAAATTCGTATCGTTTGTGAGCTACAATTTAAACAGATTTGTACTCACCATGTCAATTGATAGTGTATTACTATAATATTATAATTTTATCATAAATATTAAAATATTCATGTTTTCGGGTAAATATTTATCGTGTGTAGGAGCTGGTTTATCTGAGTAAATGAACTATTATTCACATACCGGAATGACGAGGAGTTGTACTAATTATTATTGTACTCTTCGGGTCATGAATACAATTTTAAATTTATTAACATGCGATACCCTGCTAGTCGATGTCGACGATAATTTTATTTGATTAAGTGTAAATGATGTAACGAACCTACAAACCCCTATATTTTCAAAAATCTTARAGCACCTAAATGACTTATATACTATACGTTTAAAATCGCCCTGTGCCTTTTAAAACAAAATAAGCCAGTATTTATGTACAAGTTATTAATGATCGCAGATAAAAAGTCTTATACAGTTGTAGTAGTTATACGCAAGCCAACTTTTCAATTTAGACACGAATTTACTTGAATTAACTAATTCGTTTTAACAAACGTTTTCTTAATTACCAATGGAAAGTTACATTTCACAAATATTGCATACGATGAAATTTCCAAATACATTTATATATATCACATAGGATATAAAACGTCATAATTTTCCTTTCGTCGTCACTATTCATATAAATTTTCCGGAGTATTTGTTTTTGATCTCTCCATTTTTTCTTCAACTKTATTCAAACAAGACCCGTTTAAATAATAAATGAGTAAATGTACAAATAAGTTAAATATTTATGTAAAATTATTCATGTTTCAGTATTAATCGAATTTGCGCCATGATGTACATGTGCAGGAAAAAGCCCGTTTAAATTAATAATGAAATAAAACAGCCTCGACCGCGTTAAGTTATCTCAAACGCTGTGATAAATTTTTATATATTTTTTCTAGTTTAAATTATGATAAATTTTAGTTTGTGTAGACAGAGCAATACATTTAAAGAAATGAAGTAAAATTGTCAACGAAGAGATGTACTTTGATTACATTTATGCTGGATATTCATCATATTTAAGTACCAATTATGTTTTCTACTGCGTGGATGAAAACAGTTGCTTTGATAAAAAATCGTTTGAAAATTGAGTAAAAATGATAATAAATGTGCATTAGGAAAAAAAAGTAAAAAATAATTAATTCAATGTAGAAATAGTACCTACCTATGCTTTTAAAAACCATTAATTATAACAATAGATATTATTTTATAATATCTCAAAAACCAAGTAAATAAATAATAATAACAACATGTCATGAATCATGATATTAAAAAATATGATAATAATGGTGCGATTATTTTATTTTCTTTTTCAATAACAGATCGTGTGGAAATCAGCTTTCTTTGGAAGTGTACAACAAAACGACGACGACCAACCGGAGGAAGAATCAACCACCTCCGAGATCTGCGTCCACTCCTGGCGTACTCAGCCTGGCAGCTGCGGCGGTCAGCCAAAGCGACACGACAGTTTCTCTGCAAGAGCCGCCCAGAAGACGATTTCACATACCTCAAGTGACGTTCACGTCCGAGGTAGGTTCGGGCGTTGTCGTGTGATTTCGTTTTGCAATATATTATTTATATGTTGTTTTGATGCTTTAAACCGTTTACTATTTTTTATTTTTTGTAAATTATATTTATTTGTTTGTAAATAGCTAGGTTCCTTTTATTATTATTATTTTGTTTTTCGTCTTCAACGTGTTCAAGCGTTTGTTATCGTCATTATCATAATATTATTACAACAACAACTACTACTATTATCATTATTATTTATAATAATTATTTTTTTATGCATACGCGATGCAAAACAATGAAAAATCGACGTGTTTTTTGAACCATCTAAGCCAGTATTATACTATATTATACCTACTTACCTATACGCAGATGCCAGTATACCAAAGTAACAAAAAAAACTGATTGGGAGAWCTTTTCTARTTATAAAAATATTTAATWATTCTTCCCCAATCGGTTTTAGACATAGGGTCTATTTAACTATAATTACAAYATTATAATATGATACCGAGTGACCAGTATTTTTGCATTATCATCATTTTTATTTATTTTTGTAGACAACAGTACATACCTGCATAATATTGTTTTATGTTTGTTCTCGTTTATGTTTGTATTATTTTATACATTATTATTTTTATTTGATTGTTGCATGCGGCCGATGCTCGTCGTTATTTGTTCCTCTCGTTCGTTATAAGTGTGTTTTTCTTTTTTTTTTATGAAAAAATATTCACGAACAACTTTTTAGTATTATTATTATTGCTATTATTATTTCTATTATTATTATTATTATTATTATTATTTATTTTGTATTTTTTTTTTGTGTATATAAACGCGTTTAGTTATTTTTTTGTTCCGAAGATGTGTTGTTTTAATTCTATTAATGATTTATACCTAAGAGTATCGGGTAAACATTTTTATCCATGCCATTTCTCCTTGTTGATGTATATCCTTGTTAATGTAGATTTAACTACATACATAGTTAAATAGTTAAATTATTATTTTTATCGYTGACAATAATTGTCTACAGAAAAAGGGTACGTAACATTCGTCCATCTAGGTTCATGAAAAACATATTAAAATTAAACATTTTATCGATAAATATATTGCTCAAAATGAAGAGATAATTTATTTTATCATTTTATTATTCTCTATTACTTGTTTTGAGTTTAAAGCAATTCATATTAAGTATTATATTGAATATTACATTTAGAAAGTGAATATGAATGGATCAAAATTTAATATTTATGCTATCATTAATATTCCTATAGTAAATAATATATAAGCTGGAAAAATAAAATAAAAAGTCCAAAATTAATATTCATTTGGGATTTCTATTATTTCAGGATTTTCAGGTTTTTGAGTATGCATTATTATTATTATTATAAGGCCCGTGTCCCAGCCACTTTACCAACTCGAAACGCTAATAACTTTTTATGTAATGTAGATTTATTTTAAATGGTAGGTTAAAAAGCATTGACCTCGATAACGTAGCACAGCAAAMAATTGTCTAGGATTTTTGTAATGTTGGATTCGAATTCCGAAGTAGGGACACAGTCTTATATTACAATAAATGAATAAAACATTCTTCGATTTTTATAAAAATAAAACAGTTATTAAAAGGCTTCGCCTATTCTAATTAATAATAATTTTCAGATGTTAATGATTTTCAGAAATAATTCGAAATTATATGGACAATAATTATSAAAATAAATAAGCACTCATATTATAGGTTAAATATATAGATTATACACATAGGTATGAGTAATGTAGTATTTTAATATTTTATGATTTATAACTAAATACAACAAGATCTATATCATTATTCTCTGTGTACAAAATAGAGAGCCTGCTCAAACTCTAGAACTACGGTTAGGTTGAATGAATTGTTCTTGTCTTCCTAGAATTTTTGGTGCCATAAAAGTCGATAAAATAAGACAGTTGTATATTGCGTAATGAAATTATAAACTTCTCCGATATATAATATTATAGTCGACGAAACTTTTTATTTTTGAAATATATAAAATGTCGATTTAAAATATGAAGAGATTTCGAGATAGTTTATACTTACTTTAATACTTTATACGATATTTTACCATTCCTAATCATTGGATAGTACGTTTCTTTTTGAAGCATTCTTTTTCAAATTCAGTTAGTATACCTAATATAATATTTACTAAGTTTATATTTGATACTAATGATCTGATTTTTTTTTTACATATTTTAATTTTAACGCATATATAGTGTCAATATTATTACGATGGGTGAACAAAGAAGGGATATTTATATCAAGACTAATATCGGAGTAAAGTTATTTAAGTTGAGTTAGAATGGAAAATTAAATCTAAAGTCARCTGCGTGTGACAAAAATGTATAAACGTGTGATTCAAGACGCAAATGATTATTAGYGAGATGAGGATGCCTACGAAATAGATCTTTAATATAATGTATTAGATAGTAAAAAAAGAGAAGTTTATTATAAAAAAACCCGTCTGATTGATCTACTAGGATGATGTTTATTGTGAGTAGTGGACTTATGGTAGACGTACAGGTTACGGGATAGGCTTGAATGTTTTCCGCTAATCTTGAAACTGAGAGCTCTTTTWCGGCTTTATTTAGATTATTTTAAACGTTTTTGAGGTRATTAGTGATTATAATTATCCAYAATGTATATTTCTACGTAGCGTAATCACCGCAGTGTAATTTTATTATGTGGCTGTTTATTTAACGTGGACTAAAGAGTTCTGTAAGTGGTGTTTTCAGGAATTTATAATAAATATTTAAATTTTMRTTTGGAAGATGGCATACAATTWTTTTATATTGGATGTGCGTTCTCATTAATAGCCGTCTTCTATATATYATATCAGTAAAACAACATAATATTTTCATCTACAGCATTGAGCTGTGATTTAATAAAGAGTGATTATTAGATTTTCAACTCTGTGTATATTCAAGGTTTGATAAAAACGCGGATTTTCCGGGTCAATTGTTTCGTGTAGCAATTATCGTGTATAGCTTTACCTACGCTTCATTATACACGTGATAAATTATAATTATTGCGAATTCGCCGTTTAAACATAATATTAMATCGTGTACAGCGTTTCCGCGATATAATTAAACCAGCCATTAATTATTTTCAGTAACATAACAAACAAAATAATACTATGCATATATTATTATTATTATTATTATTACTTAATAAAACGTTATCTAGAGAAGTGTCCGTGGAGACCAGAGTTGAAGCGAGATTTCAAAGTTTCAGACCTTACCTCAAACTTCAGCGACTTGCCCCACTCGTAGAAATTAAATATAGATTAGCTGGCCATTATACGGCGCCACACATATGCAAAACACAATACACTGTTTTGAATAAAAATTATTCTCCAGTGGTTTTGGCACTGACGTATTATAATATATTCTAACTTGTATTTTCGTCGATGCTTCTCCTTCAAGAACACGTCCATGAATCTATCATTATAATAAATCGCCTAAATTGTTGTCAAAACTTCGTGATAAAAGCCAACCATTTAGTAATGATAGTAATGTTTTATTTATTTGTAGACACGAACAWCATTATACACTATACAGTTATAGAACGATGGGATATATGTAGATAATAATTGCAATTGTTTTAAGCACACACGTAATTTTTTTTTATAATTGTTATTTTGACAAATTTGTACAACAATTAATTACATTTAAAAATGTATGATAAACACGCATATTATTATAATATTGTTATCAGCGAATAACATAAGTAAATAATACTAAATATTGAATCATTACCCCCATTAACGATGTATAAACAAATTTGAAAAAAAAAACTCAATATAATAATCTTATATAGGTATGACCGTTCAGGAACTTTTAATAATACTAAACCATTTACAGCAATATTTTTTCCTAGATTTTGAAATCTTGTAAGCATAATAATTTATAGTTATGGTTAAGAACAATTGAATAATTAAAGAATATATATATATATATTTCAATATCGTTGAATGATTAGTATAATAATGTCTGATAACAAATTTTAAATTTGCCATAAACACAATTTACATAATAGTTAATTTTTGATTAATCAGATAAAATTAATTCGAAACCCGGAAACGCGTTATTCAAATTTTAATTGCTTTTTTTAATCTGTACATAAAAAAACATGTAAACAAGTTACATTACACCATTATTGCAATAATATCATGATCCATAATTCCTTGTCAGATTAGAAACACTACAGTAATTATTATTGTCAATTGCGATAAGATTTTAATGTTCTAAAAATATATGCGACCAAAAACGTTAAAACACGCCATCATACCCGTTATTTATACAAATACAAATTGTAATGCATTTTTTATGTAAATGCAATGACCTACGATCATTTTGTTTTATAAATAAAAAACAAACCCGATTAACAATGTTAACAAAAAAATTAACAAGCATCATCTCGGCAAATGTGACAAATTGCTGTTTGGAAATGTTTTTTTCTGGCACGTGTAACTCTAAATCGTTGTACAAAACAATATTTTCGAGAAAAAAAATTATATTTTTTACTATCCATATTATTTTATCGTTATTAATTTTCGAACAAGAGCGTTCATTTTTTTTATTTCATATTTCCAAGCAAAATGTATTTCCGATAATCTATTTAAAAATGTAATTTCGGACGACTATAGTTTAGTTTTTACATTATTCTATATTTAAAGCTAATATGAACTCGGAGTGAAGTGGTGCAGAGTACGTAAATCCCCCCCCCCCTCATAACAAAATGCAATCGGTCCGACACTATAATACGTAGGCACATTACAGAACGGAACAGCTCCCACTTGACGTTCGCGTAGGACTTTATGACTTATTGTGATGGGATTGTTAAAGTACATTTAATGTATAAACCCCACAGCCGATCTAAAAAGTCTRAACGCGGAACGCCGCGGGGCGTATTGTATAACACTCGTCGTTCAGTCGATCACAAGAATTTTATGACTCTTATTTAAAAATCAACGACTTGACGATCATTCGGAAAGGCCCTACGGCGTAACTACTAAAAAAAGAAAGACGGCGAGGATAAAAAAAAATATATGTATGTATATAATGTAAACTATTTTAACGCTAATCATATTATGTTAAATAATCGTGTTAGGAAATCGTTTTAGCGAGAGGGCGCAAAAATATGTACTTACCCAAGTAAATGAAAGGAAGGCAGAAAAATGGTTAAAATTTAAATAAAAGCAAAAACTGTCCTGGGCCAACATTTTATAATAATATGAATATTTTAATAACTCGGTATAATTGCATACACTTGAAATGTCCACCATTTTTGTGGCCGTGAAATGTTAATACCTTACTTAACCTATTAGACAGTTTTATTTTAAATTTCTCCGTTTGAATTTTAAATATGCAAATGATAAAGATAAACWAGTACTATATAGACAAATTTTACATAATTTTAAATTTTAAATGTCGTAAAAAAAGATTCAGAGTTAAAATTCATCTTGGATCGACTCTCGTAGAGTAGTTCTCGGTCACAGTTTAAAAATCAACAAATTATAATATTTATTTTACATTATGCATATTATATGCAATAGGTCGGTCTTGTCTTTCGTATGACAATTAAATAAACTCATGCCTAGGATGATCGTATTAATGTCTTATATTAGGTGATGTTTTATTCATAAATATTAATTTTTTAAATTTTAATATGAAATAATTATTTTTTTTTAACCTTTGATATCGCTCATTCACTTTTACAACAATATAGAATATACTTAAGAATTTTTCTCGTGTATCGAAATAATCACTAATCAGTATAATAGGTGTATTATGCACTTGGTTGCCACTCATYATTTTACATTATTTGAATTTTGAAACTCGGAAACTGTTGTTTGTTAGACCAAGAAGTTTGGGTATTTGTTTAACTATCATAACTTTAAAATATGATTTACCAGAGGTCGCTAATAAATCTTTCAAGTCCTATCGGTCAAATAGTGACTATATTTATCAGGCTGTCTTTGTTTTATGAAAAAAAATAAATATTTTTACGAATAATTATCTCATTTATAAATTTATGATTTATGTATTTATTTATAAAAAGTCATTTTTTTTTTGCCTGCGAAAATCTTATAAGTTTATGATCATAATAAAAATAGTCTTTGCGGCGTTAGACAATCTAATTGTAATTAATTATGTTATTGTGGTGTAAAAAGAAATTKCGTTGACGTTGATTAAAATATATCGTAACGCTTTTGTTATAAGAACCTATCCGGCGATATGGACTCGCAACTGAGGTGGATTCATCAACTTCTCACGGCCGAGCAACAGTTTGTGTTATGTTTACAATTCGGTATCGGGAGGTATCTGTTGCCGTTGGCCGAACGCAAAGACGTGCTCAAGCCCAAAGAACACGCGGCGCTATTTCAAAACGTTCAAGAGGTATGCTATTAATTATTATAACGTTTTTTATATTTTTTATATTTTTAATTATATGATTACCATGATTTACCCTCGATGATTATATAGAACGGATTCTTAAACATTTTTCGTTATATATATTTTGTATCTGTCACGAACCAAACTATTCAAAATGATAAATCGGTAAAGGGTATAGACTTTCAGGGCTATTTTTTATCTGTTTTTTTCGTTTTATTGAAATTATGATTTTTAAAGACAAATAGGTTTACAAAATATTTTTATACCTATATAAATATTAAATTTTTTTTATCCTAACAATCTCAAAAAAAAAAACATTTTCTATTATCATAAATTGTATATGCCAGACATAAAACACAACCAGCCGAATTCTTAAATCTCAATTTGCCTCCACCTATGGATAAAATCTCTCCGAATAAAATACTCGAATCGCCTTACTCTGCTACAGTTGTGTACCTTGCATTCGAACGCATTATAAATATTTCACCGATTAGCCAATATTCATTCGATATGGCAAGGAACGGCACCACAAGTCAACGTTTTATACATTTAAAGTATTTTACGAACATAATATTTATATTACCTATTACATCAAATATGATATATGAAATAACAACAACTATTACAACGATATCGCATCGTTCATTAAAATGGGTATTATTACCGATGACATGAGCTCCCCCGGGAATCCCTGGACACCGCACTTCCGGGAATGCACACGATTATGTTATAATAATTGTCTGTGTTTAATTGTCGTCCCGCAGCTGCTGCGCACCACCGAAGACACCCTGGAGCGTATAATCGATAACGACTGGAAAATGTTGGCGCAGAACACGTGCAAGGCGTACGTGAAGAAAATCGATCAGATCAACGGAGCCTATTACAAATACTGCAAGGGCATCATTCACGCGGATTGCGTGCTCGTGGAAAAAATACGAAATTCCAGTTTTTTGGAACTGATCAAAGACCCGCCCATACCCGACCGTAGACCGGATTTGATCACGTTCATCCACAAGCCACTGGAGGTAAGTATCTGCATACACAAATACATATGTCATGTATCATTGGTCAAAGATGATCTATAATATTTATTGCATCGATTTTTCACAGTGTAACGATTAGCGTTTTTTGTGAAATGTCGTGTTTAAAACGCCAAATTCGTAAATTACGAWGTACCTATAAAACTTACATTCATATAAAGCCGGTAGCACAGTTTAAATTTTACTAACATATTGTATAATTTAAAACTAGCTAGTATTATATACAATTATCATACATAATATTATGTATTTTACATTGATTGTTGTATTTTGTCTATGCTTTAGCAAATCTTTTGTCAATAATTATACTTACCTGCCCGTTTATATCGTAATATATAAATTCTTGGCTATCATATACTATAATACATATTAAATACTACATGATGTGAAATAGTTTTAGGCTATACATATATTACTCAACGTCACAATATTACATATTCTTTGTTTTGTGTCATATGGTTTTCAGCATTACAGAAACGTATTGAAATGTATGCAACTCATTCAAATCAATACCGAACACGACGACGAAGGTTTTGAAGCGTTGTCACATATAGTCCACGAAATGCAGGTAATATTCGAATAAATAATTGATAATAATATTATTATTTACCGCTGAAAATATATTTGAAATTCATAAAAAAAAAAATTAATACGAAGTAAACTCACATAACTACGATACCTATATTTAAGAGTGTAGAAGTCGTAAAGACATATTGTCAGACAAACGTATTGGACTAGACTAAGTTAAAAAATATATAAAAATTATTATACTAATATTACGTTTGCCATTAATTTACCAACAGTATCATTGACAAAAATCTGAATTGACAATTGATGAACAACTTATTCTGATTAGTCTGTGTCATCGTTTTGTTTTAATATATAAATAAGAGTCGAGTATGCATAATAAAAATTGAAGAGCTCYATCTTTTTATACCCTTTCCACCAATTTGAACACTGATCATTTAAATGTTAATTAAAAATTGTCTTGAAATTTCTGGTGGAGCTGCAGCCCCCAGTCCTTCTAACTGGCAACGCTACTGGTGTAGGTATTTACATCGAGGTTAAAATATTAAAAAAAAAAACAAATATTAATTACATATATAATATTATGTAATCCGATACCTGCTTTAAACGCCATAACAATAATATTGTACAATGATAATATTGATTTTACCTATCTAGACGACATATCGGTTCATAACTGTGGAATCCGGTCTGATGGAACCGGAAGTGGACGGGAAGCCTTTACTGTCGCTCAACGATTTAGAAGCCCGTTTGGTATTCACTAGGTGCAAGGTCAGTATACCACAGTTATGACGACGACATTAAATTATCGTCACATTGTCGCAATAAATTGTAGTGCGGGGTTTTAATGTAAAATATCGATTTTCCTTATCTATAACAATAACAATTGTTTCGATGTTTGGCAGCCGTTTACGTTGAACACGCCGGACCGCCACTGGATATTTGCTGGTGACCTGAGCCGCGTTGAAGGACGGTCCGTCAGGTCGTACTGGGCGCTGTTGTTCTCCGACATTTTGTTGTTCACCAAAGTCAGCAGGGATCGCGTGTTATTTGTAACCGACGAACCCTTGCCGCTGTCCTCGATTGCTCAAACACAGTTCTCCGTYAAGAAAAAAGGTAAGTACCAAACGTCCTATCATAGTGAATGCGAGCCGCAAGTAAGTAGGTTTTATTCAAAAAAAAAATTTTAAATCAAATTATCAAATAAATACACTCGAACTGTCTATGACCGCAATACAAATAATATGCAACTTAATGCCAGGGAAGGGCCAGATACTAATTAGTATATGGCTTATATATTTTATACTTTCAGATGRAGGAAACATTTAACATTTCCAAAAGATATTTTTTTACACTTTAATTAGAAGTATAATATACCTACACAAATAATAATATAATTTAAATTTAAACTATATAGTACTGCAATCTATGATGTCAGGCGCAGATTGGTTTATTTTTAATGAGATTAAAGGTTATATGAAGACAATTATTTAGGTATGCATTAATAAAGTCTGTATTTATAATTTATATTCTATATCAGCTATTGTAGARGCTTACTCATCGCCATTATCTGAGTAAAATTGGTTGGATTAGAACTTAGAAACGATATGATTTTTCATCCCACAATTTCATCAGTAATTTACATTGTATACTGCAAACTATATGTATAATAAAAATTAAAAATTATGGTTATTCATTAATTTGTTTATTTAAAAAAATATATTATATGTTTTATAATAATATTATTGTATTAACTATCATAATTTATATACCTATTATCTTAACCCAAAAAAAAAGGTAATTAGATACAAAATCAAAAAATTAACAAAATATGCAGTATAGGTATACAAAAGTATCTATAAGATGCCATTAATMTTTGCCTATAGCAAAGCATTTTTAATCAAATGCGTTTATGTTTGTTATAGCCTAGCTATAGAGCTGTAAATTAAACGGTATCGTGTTGTAACGGTTTTTCGCTGCACGGTGAAAGTTTATTTAATTCATGGGATGATGGGGGGAGGAGAATAATACATATTATTATTACTCTAAACTGTTGACGTTTCGCGTGTACGACTGTGTAGGTATAATTATACACATTTTTGAGCTGAGCGTTTTCGCCGTTTCAGATACCGAATTCCGGTTGGTAATTAGCAGTGGGTCGGACACGACGTCGTGTCACAGTAGTCCGGCCATGACCGGATGCAGCCCTTTGTTTGCCGACCTGTCGGGCACTCTTTCGAGACTGCCGAAAAACAAAGGGAGAGTGATCGTGCTCCGAGCGCCCAAGGCCGAACTGAAAGCTGTGTGGCAAAATCTCATCCAAAGACAAATGTAAGCTGTGCGTGTGACGTCTTTCCGTTGGGAACTAATTAAACAATATTGAGAAATTTTACGTCCATGGGTAATTCCCGCCCGGTGCCAACACTAGTTTTTAGACACAGMATCAGGACCACGCTGCACTCGATTTAGGAGTGTTAGGACCGTTCCGTCGATTATTAAGTAGTGCCATTGGTTGTTACCACGATTTAGGATAATACTATATTAAATCGTGACTGTTATTAGACTTACTATACCTGGTATAATCGTGAGTGATTATCTATGGTTAATCAACGGTATAAAATGTGTATTATATAGATKATAATAAAAATAATATATTACAACAAAAATACTATTAAATGTAGGTGTTAGGTACTATTATAAAACGACCAATGATGCTATCAAAATTTAACAGAACCATTTCGTTAAAATATAGAAAATATGCACACGCGATATTGTTAATTCATAATCTATAGTATAATACCATAGAAAAAAAAACATTTTTTTTTTTTTTTTTTATGTTTATGGATTTTTAACAGGTCGGCAATTTCTGACACCTCGTTTGGCGCAATGCGTATTAAATGAATATTATTATTAAAATGAACGAGCTTGAAGTAAGTTGGTGTGGTTCATAGGGTGAGAGARGGTGCATGGGGCTCGAATAAAACTTTTTTGAACAGCTGCAATTTTAAAACGATGCCCATTATTACCACTTCAACTGTAATGTAATATAAGTATTATATTATTAAAAATACCTACAAGCCAATTGTCAGTTACCACACCACCATAAATCATCAACACTAACACCAGCTCTTAYTCAACCAAAATATGCCCTTCACAATAATAGTAGTGTGATAATAATTAAAGCACAAATTTTAATATCCTAAGAAAAAAGAAAAATTCCTTTAAAATTAAATTAAATTAATGGTAAAACAATTAACAATTTTTAATAAATGATTTAAATTCACGTGATTAAGCCTTGTGGTAATTGATTGTGAATAACATACCTACCTATTTGTTTTATATACTCGTATATATAATAATATATATTATTACGTATCTTCCTGAACGTGTCGAAAATTTAATTTGTTAACCGTTGCGAAGCCACCACCACTTTTATATATACGGGATAAATGCAGTCCACTCCCGCCCTAAATTAATATAACATAATATATCACTTGGATATATTATTGTATAGGTAATACCTGTTTATAATATATATATATATATATATAGGTTTATTATGTTTAATGTACTAATAATGTATATTCTTATCGTGTAAAACGGTAACTGTATATTGTTTGTTTGCGTCTGTTTATAGACTGACGATGGACAAAAACTCATTTGCGCCGGACGGTAAGTGTAGGGGACCGTCGTCGTTGGGACCACCGGACTCACCGGACGATCTGTTGGCCAACTCGCTGGCCACGCTGGACGACGACGTGTACGCGGACAGGCTAAAGGTACAGTGTAAGCTCTCGCTAAGCAATCCGACCACGCCCACAGGCACCGAACCCGACTGTTATCCCGTCCGTCCGCCGTCCTGAGATTCGGTTTCCCGGCCGAATAGATGCTGCAGCCCCACGAGGTTCTAAAAAGCATACTATTGCTGCCGTTCGGGTCCGGGAACGACGGAAGGCACCCCGTAAATGTGCGAATTATGTGCTCGCATATACATCATAATATATAGTATAATTCTTATACGAGCCTTCGTACGATGTATATATAACAATAATACCTTCCTATATAAAAATTACCCACTCGCAATCAACGCAATAATAATAATTATTATTATTTAGGCTGTTGTAGAATATAAAATTTAAAATATTACCAATCTATTRTGTATAATAATATGGAATGTCTATGTTTATTCTTATTTTATTTAAAAAAGTTAGTATGAAGGAGCCAAGATCACTTAAAATCTTAAAATTAGGAACCTAAATTACTATAGAAAACTTACTAAAAAGGAAAAAAATTTCAACTATTATGCATAATARATATTACTACCAGTGGTCCGATTAGACATTGTTAAAATATTTTTATTGATTGACCTTTTAACTATGTAGGTTGAGAAGGAAAAATACTTAATGTTTACAACCCAATATAGATTCAAGGAATAGAAAATATTTTCAATTTTTGAATGATTTTGGTTTTAAAGCCTGATAAATTAGAAAAATCAAAAGACCTGCCTATAACAAACTAGTATTTTCATACCTTTACTAACTTTCTAGTTTTACAYTTCTCGATCTAAAACTAAATAAGGTGCTCCAACAGTCTAATTAACTTTTAATGACGTTTTAATTTCCGATCGTCTAATCGTATAGAATATATTATTATAACGCATACATGGGTGTCGATTACACGAACAAGATATTGCCAAGAAATTTGATTGTTCAATATACGATTTTTTTTCGAAATTTACACAATTAAGTATCAARCATGAATTTTTTTTTCATAGCGATAATTGAAATTAGATCGTCATCGTTTTAGATGAACTATTTTTATAATAGACTATAATAACATACATGTATATTAACTACTAAAAGTAAATTGATGATACATCATTAACAATCAATAATATAATACGTTATGCTATTAAATTAATCGATTAAAATTAGCATCTACGACTGATTATCGATATGATCGTARACCTCTATTCGTCGGGTGCATTATGATTTACAAATAATAATATTATACATTCTCAATGCAGTAGGTATATATAATAGGTACTCCTGCGATGAGATCGTGGCCATTTTCTGTTTTAATGTCGAGTGTGGRCGGATATACGTAATACATTATAATATTATATACAGTTGAGGTACGCCTCAACAGATTATTTTTTATTTAGAAATGAATGCTATATTATGATATTATATTGTTCATTAATATATATAAACGTATTATATCCATATAGCTTCTATCCGTGCGACGAACGACTTGCATTACAATTATTATTATGACATATTATAGTTATCATCTTCCTAAATAGCTGCACAGTTATAATAATATTATGTACTAAGTATATAAGTACATAAACTATTTCGATTGTATATTAATGCATGTTGTACTAATTGTATGTTTTTCAGTGACGTATCTGAAGCTTTGACAAAAAAGGGTGATTTTTTTTAACCATAAATCTTTCGCACGAAATGTTTCTATTCTACTCTCCACTGCCATTCGTCGACTTTTTAAATTTAACAATATTATTTTCATTATTTTTTTTTTTTTTATAGGCAATTAATAATAAATTTTATGCAATCAAATTCTATGATAGATCACGCTTTTGTAAAATTGGTAGATTTGCACCTGGTGTTACACAAATGTCCTTTTTTTGATTATATTTATTAATATATTATATAAGCTGATAATTTCATCATCGTATTATGCCATAGATACAATAATTATCAAACATTCCGCGTAAAAGGCCACCCCATCTATAGCTCAAATACGTCACTGTATAAATATTATACCTACAAAAAATAATTTCATACATATTAGGTATATATAGAACGGCAGCAGTAATAATAATATTAATATTGTATACGTATAGTTGTTGGCACTGCAATGTGTATTTTAAATACCTGTAATCAATAATTTTGATATTCAACGTAGAAATAATATTATTATTTGAATACCGTAGTGGCTTTGCCAGTTTATCTAGTCGCCGTTTAGAGTAAACATTTATTAATATAGCACAGGGCGCCAGCATCTATTTGACGCCGGGAATAGGCGGATCTGAACATGATAAAATCACTCACATACATAATAATATTTGTATACATGCATTATAATTATTATTATTGTATTTGTAAGTCGAATTACTGAGTAGTTGTAAACCGATAATGCTATTGAAACATCGAAATCGATAAATCCATTAACGTATAACAATTATTATTTTGTTTATAAATCACATCCTCATGATATAAAATTGTACAGCTTAAATTATAATAATTATCATACTAAATTAGCGTGTAGCGCTCTACACTTTCGTTTTTAGAGTAATATTAATTATAGACTCATTATTACGATATAATGCCTCTTATAGTCTCTGGAACTGCCTGTCTATTTTTTTTTTTTTTTTGTAAAACTTAATACTAGCCAATAGAATTTCGTTTTGGCGCGTTTCATAAACTATTTCTTCCTTAATGATATTTAAGTTGCTTAGTGTACATAATCATTAAAGATATTTACCATAAAGGTATATATTTATTTTAAATAAATTTTTTTTATAAAATTAAAACATAGATATATTAATAATTATATATATTACGTTTTAAGTAGTTCACTGTTCTTAAATGTCATATATTATGATATATAYGTGTTAAACTAAAATGTTTTGTTAAGTGTAAATGTTTCCGTCCCGAAAGTTTTGAACAACTTGTCTACGTGATGGATTTGTATTTGTGAACATATCGTTTTTGATAGTAAATTATCTTTGTAGTTGAATTAAAATTTGAAATATTTGTACTCAATTTTAATGAATAAAAATGTTTTCAAACAATGAATACGGTCAAATTTTTTTTCAAATATTGTTCAGAACTATTTAAACGGTAAAAACTTTTCACACTTATGATAACTACTTTACGCATTAAACAAAGTGAATATTTTAATGGTATACTCACTATCCTGATAAGTATCAACGTTTTCGGAACTATTTTTCTCGCATAGTTTTAAGTCATTAAAAAAAAAAAAACAAATTTATGTCAGGAAAAATTCTTCTACATTTCTCAGAAACATATTCTGCTTCAGAATATTTAAAGAGTATGCAGACATTCAACACTTTTAAAAACTAAAAAAGAATATAATTATTTTATWAATAAGAACAGTGAAAACATAATTTTATTCTTCAAAAACATTAGTTTAAAACTACTTAAAACTGTGTAAAGAAAATATTTCYAAACACTTGAGTGCTTTTTGAGCTATACCAAGAATCGCGTTRTAAGTAATAACAATAATACATTGTTTTATTTAATCGCACAGCTAAAGCAGATCATAATGCGTATTGCGCATTATACAATTTCTAAAATCACTTTATCAATATTATTGTTACCGTTTGGATAGTAGTTGGATCATTTTTCTTGTTTACAGTTATTACTACAGTATACCCTCGCCGAAGAATGAGTGGAACGATGAACGACGGTTTTATGTTAAGAGAAAAATAATGTACAATGCATGTATACAAAAAAAAAAAAATCGTATTTTTATAACGATTACTTGAGTGTGCGAGAATGTGCAGATGTGTGTTTTTTACCTGTAATATTATTTTTTAAGCATGCACAACACATTCGTGCTTGATTATTTGATGCATTGAGTTAAAAAACTTTTGTTGATATAACATAAAGTGCGTGATGTTACACGACAAGCTATGCAAATGTAATATTCTGTATCATGTTACAAGAGCATATATTGTGACTGAAAAAGATTTTTCAATCCAAAACACTGCTGCGCGACTGTTTAAAGTTAATATAACACCTGCAGTTGATATGGCTTTGATTTTGCACCCTTTGACTTTTATTTTCCAATGTCGACACAAAATCTCTCATAACTCGCACAGTTTACATATAAGTTGGACTGTGTGCAACAAAAGTATATTAACCATGCAAGCATGATATGTACAAGTTGAATGCGTTTCCGGTTACCYACAGATTCACGAGACGAATAACCTTTTTTTAAATTGTCTATATAGTTTTTAAACACAGATTTCTCAAAAGGTAAYTCGTTCTTATCCACTATAAGTGAATCCGATTAAAAAATGTTCAAATAAAATTAATGAATGAAGTTTAACGCAATCACTAGGTATTTTKGGGTTTTTATTTCGATTTGTATGATAGTAATTGGGCTTATTTGTAAGTGCTAGTTAAACTAATGTTTTTTAAATATATCRAGTCACACTGTAATGATTGATTTCTAAATCGATTCGGRAAAGGGTCCTTTATAATATTTAGCTTMCCAGCAATCCAAAAATGTCTATTTAGTTTCGYTTGTGAATGTCAGCAGTAGGTATAAATCATAATGTGTGCAGAAAATGGATGACACGCGCATCAGTTCGAGCTATTTTATTCACAGTACCTACGCCTCGCAACATATCACGCAACTTGAGTTATTTTTTTAAGAAAAAACTATCAATCGATCAATGTACAACGCTATAATAATGTAAAACCTCAAGAACTCGAGAGCATGTCGTACCGCTAAACGCTTATTATTGTACTTATATCGACACGACCAAGTCCTATAATAATTTTATATTGTTATTGCTGTTTATACAAAAACATAATATATCATAACAGTTAATTTATAATAATAGGTACAAATGGTATAATGTAAGTTGACCAAATCATTTATTGTCAACATGCATGCATGTCTTGTAAAGTATTCGAATAAAAGTATCTCAATACTTCTTTTATACTCGAATATATCATCCCCGATGACCTTAAAAAATAACATATTCAAATAAAATACGTAGTCATATTAAAATTTTTCTTCTATAAATTTTCAATACATTTTTGATTGGTCAAAAAACTTAAAAATTTAACACAAAGCTCCTCATAAGTTACAATTATAGCTGCCGTTTAAAAATATCAATGATTCATTTGTTAAATGTTTATGCAATTTTCAATTTGTATACCTAGCTTAGGCTTGAACATTTAATAGAAGGTTCCTAATAAGTAGTTCATACAATTACCAAAAACTCTAAAGAAATATGACAAATTAGAAATTTAAACGAAGATTAATGACTTTTTGTTAGATACCTATGCCATATCTTGTACAGAAATATTTTTCGTGAGTAGGTATATGATTCTTTCACTTACATTAAATTCTTTCATTCTCGTTTTAATCGTTTCATACACACAATGACTTTTTCAAAACACTTAGATTAATATTTTGCTATTTTCTATTTATTCCACRAACCTATTCATACCGATCTGTTGCAAGTCAGTATATTGACTTGAAAGTTTATAGCAATAATTTATGATATAAATATGTAGACACATTTACAACAATTAAATATTGATAATAAATGAAATGTTTTTAATAAAATTAATTCAACCTATCATATTATTATAATAATATTAAATAAATTATTATAATATCAAAATAAATATAACATAAAATATACTTATTAGTAATGTAGACTGATACACAGTCTTCACTTGTAATCGTTTTTCTTTTACAATAATTTATCATTGAACTCGAATTTATAACAAATACATTACACTGATTATAAGTAACTACTCAAAGTACACTCGATACTTATACTTAGTAGCAGGAAWGTTAACTAATTTCCTACTTTTTATACTCTCGAGTACTTTTTTTTTTTGAAAAAAAATTAATAATGTACAAAATATTTGTATTTTTAAATTTAAATTAACTAATCGCCTTCAAGATCACATTAAGTAAGAAATCGAAAAACCTCGGTTATACGAGTAGATCATCGTGTAACCATTGTAATGTTTCAACCAATTATTTTGGTTATTTAAAAAACAAAAAATTTGCATTAGAAATTAGAATGCCATTTCACCCACGTGTAAACGTATTTCAAATACAAAATAAATGTGTACTTTACAAGACCGAATGCATATTGCATATCTACTTTTTACACGCAAATTCAAGAGATTGTTAACTCAGTGTAATGTTCTACTAAACATACTTGACATGAAGGTTTTATTTTTTTTTTTGTTTCGTACCTAATGACACGCTAGCTATCATTTACGCACTCAACTTTTGTGTTTTAAACGATTTTAACTGAAATATCATAAAGTCATTAAAAATATTTATCTTCCAAAACAAATTCTCATTTGTCCAGTCTTGCGGTAATGTATATTATGCACATGTTATTTAATGTCAACTAAATTTTAAATCCTTAGAGAGAATTGTMTGTTCAAAAAATACAGACACTGTTTTTGTACGCGATKTAAACCACTCGCGTTAAATATAATATTATATCATACTATAAGACAGTACCTACACACATTTAGGTATATTATTAATATATATTATTTCGTCGTACATGATGTCTGGATAAGGTCTGTATACGTTCAACCGATACCGACGACCTCCTCCGACACGCATAACTTGCATGATATAAACAAAAACCCACCAAAAATCCAACTGCATCGTATGCCGTCTGTGGATTTCTAGACGTTTGCCGCGTCGTTAGTGGACGAGAGGTGTCAGCGGATGACCAAGAGCAGCGCGTGCAACAAGGGCAAGGCGCTGCACATATCGCAGTGGATAAAAGGYGAACTCGGAGGCGGATTGTTTGGCGGAGGCAGTTGTGCGGGTGTTGGAGGTGGCAGCAGCAGCGGAGGCGGTGGTTGCGATGACGATGACTTGGAACTGTGGACCGAAGAACAGATGAACGCCAAACGGGCGGAAATCGAACGTCGGTTGTCGTCAGCTGCAGCGGCCAGRGACGGTGTTGAGGCTATAATCGAGTATGCAACTGCGGCGGAAACCKTGTCGGTAGTCAGCAGTCCGGATGACAGTCAAGTACGTTACATATTATAAGATAGTAAAATAATAATAATCTCAAACTTATTCGAGATGCCTGGTCGGTGAGCATTCGTTTATTATTTTTATTTTTTTTTATTAGAAATAAGCCTCGACAGCGGTGGCCATTGGCTGACATTGTTTACATTATTTTTTACATAAAATTGGTTTTTGTATAGTTTTTACAAAGTTTAATTTTTACATATTATACAATATACTTGTTTACAATAAATTTTAAATTTCAAGTTCTTTTATGAGGTTTAGTATCTGTCTGATGGCAGATACGTTTAGACCTAGTGATTGATATAGAAACTCTAGTATATTGTGTTTGGTCCTTGGAGCCTCTGTTTATATGCATTCGACGAGTATATGTTTGATAGTCAAATGGACTCCACATGTTGCACACTTGGGTTGTTCTTCTCTGCTYATTAGGCAACCGTRTGTGAAACGAGTGTGTCTTGAGCATTCGTTTAAATAATAAATATACTGTTCGGACAGAAAAATCAAAAAATTAAGCTCAATTATTTTTTTAAAACCTGCATGACTTGTATTTGTTCTTCGGATGTGTTCTCTCTGGCGTGATCTTATCTACCCTAAGCTAACGCGATGTGACGACCAAATGAATATTTACTGACTCGCTTGTTTCATTACACGTTTGTGCTGTTTAGAGAACCGTCGTGCCGGAAAACGTATGTGACAAGTGTCAGAGAACATGCGACATCAACGGCAACCAGCAGACGGACRCTTTCCTCGACATGAATCCCGAAAACAAATGGAAACCGTCCACAGTGTCCGTGTCCACAGACCTCAGTCCTTGTGAACCTTTCGGMAACATTAATAACAATAACAATTACGTCAATAAYAATTCCGGAAATGATAATGATAATGTATACGACGATGACGATGACGACGACGACGGACTCGAACCAGATCGACCGTACGCTTTGCTCGCTTCCTCTCCACCACTACAACGTAGTAGTCATCAACATTATCAACAACAACACCAACAACAAATTCGACCACAACCCCGGTTTTCGTCAACGTGCAGCCTGGACAGAACTGGCACGAATCGTGACCATTCAACGGATAGTCTAGACAGAGTGGAGTATTGTTCAACCACCGACTACAGGTAATATTATTATTGCACACTATAATCGTCTGTAAAAATTAATCGTGGAGAATTTAATTAACTAAACTAACAATTATAGCAATATTAATGGTTAAATTAACTTTTAATGTATTTTTGTCAAGTCATACGATTTAAGATTCACATTCACATGTATCATCTTACAACCGCACAACATGACAAATTTCCACAAAAGTCCAGCTGAATTCATTTTTTGTTGTTAGCTTTAATATGAGGAAATTATTCTGATAATAAACATTATTTGTGATTTTACATTGGCTTTTTACGATGATATAGTGATGCGTTTTTTTATTATAGGTACTCCCGTGATTTTCATTCATTTTATTTTTTGCTACAGGTGGCCAGAAGACTTTTGTCCCGTTACAGCCAGCTGTTGTCTACCAACSGACGAAGACTATAACTACGATGCATCGAGTGAAGAATTCTGGGGAACGCCTAACAGCAGTACCACATCGCCGCTGTCTGTCGAAGTAAGCGAAACGTTATAAGYATGTTTGAACCTCTAAGCAAATACTTTTATGCCTGATTAAACCATTAAACAGCAGATAATTGAAAAGCAAAACGATTAATTCCTGGTCAAATGTTGTGTAGGTAGTATACTCAGCACTTGATGCAATATTAAAATGTGACTGTTATGTTTWATTTTTTTCATTGGACTCAWTTTCCCGGTAAATCATAAACCATAATAATAATATTATATAGTTATACGTTATTTATTTTACAAAATTTAGATCACACGGCGCCTTGGATAGGCAATTCAGCTACATTCGGTCGTTTATTCATTATTGTTTTTGCGTCTCATATACACTTATTATTTGACATTCGATAAATTCACCATTACTTATAAAACTCTAGAACGTGGTTCAGTCTAAAAGTAAAACGATAGATCTCCTTTATAGCAACAGGTGAGTATATTATATTTGCCAGTATAAAATGTAGACATAATGGGGTACATCCAATAATGTAGTTTAATATCGCATTCGACTTGACGAATTTATGGGGAACGACCTGGGAGAGAGGGGATAAAATCCGGCTTAACTGCTACAGATGGACGGCCGGTAACCGAAAGGTGGCTCAGTTGGCGAAAGCCGAGAAGACGTTATCAGTTGCAATAGTGAATGTGCATTTGAAGGTCGACCAAATATCAATTCCCTTTAATTCGAACACAACGGTTTATATGCGAATTCATCATGCTTAATAATTCGTTTTTCTTAAAATCTCACTTACGCAATTGATTATTAAATTCAAATTCAATAGCTGCAAGTATTAGTTGGAAAAYTAGAAAAACAATAAGGTCAGATTTGATTTTTACAACTAATATTATGAACATTATTTGATCATACCTATTAAAGGTGAATTATAACGAAGAATGGCAAATCGAAACGCCTTCAGTTGGAACGTCATCTACGCCTAAAAAAAGACCGGCCCGATTAGAACCACTGATCGAAGAAATCGAATCGTCGGACAACACTCCGTCGTACGAATATAAAGAAGTGTGTATACTGTATATTATAATATGTATATATACAACGGATATTATTTGTCATCATTTTTTCTTCCAAATTCGCTACTTAGACATATTATCACATTATATAAACGATATGGTCATAGTTTTAAGTTTTAATTAGTATGTATGTCTGTATATGTAATGAGCACAGAACGTTTATGGAGAAGGTCAGACTCTGTTGAACTTTAAGACCGGGCACGTGACTGGGTCCAAAGACAAACACACTGTGGACAAATCTATCACCAAAAACTTGTAAGCAAACAGTTATTACGTACAAACCGCATGAAAAATAATCTAGTTTGTTGTCCACTTTGTGTGTTGAAAAGAAGTAGTAATTATGGTTTTGCGAATGCGACAGATTTAACATGTTATGGCGGACGTCCGGAAGAAATCGTCCGAAGAGGACTTGCAGCACCGAATCCAAAATGGGAGCAAATTTTATCCGGAGACGACGCGTGAGTATCTATAATATACTGCAGTTCCTAATTTAAACAGCGTGATCTTATAAACAGTAAATTAATGACATCATATCAAAATAAAATTATTATTTTTGAAATTATCTTTGTTTTTTTATATGATTTGAACTTTGAAGTGATCATTATAAAACAGCGAATCAAAATTTTGTAGTGTAACCCTACAGTGCAACTTCAGTTCGAATTCTAAACTTGAAATACTTATAAGTTAACTTATTATCATATTTTCAATTAAAAAAATAAAACCATCAAAAAACTTTAACGATTCAAATTGTAATATATACATATATATATATATATGTATATTCATACACCTATTTTGTAATACTCATTAATAAATATTTGAAAAATATTAAACCATGTCGAAAAAATAAGTTTCTGACGTTAAAAAAATCATAGATAACCATTTAAAATTATATACTAAACCACATAGATATGCATATCTATGTAAATTTAAGTTCCTAATAACATACTTTTAAATTATTCACAATCTTAATATTTTACATATTTTGTTCCAGGTTAAGTCTGAAAAGTCAAAACAAAACAAAGAAATCAAACTTAATCTAATCGAAAGCGTATATTTGTTACTCTTTGGTTAACTATAAGTTTACATAATTATTGGTATTTTACTATTTCATTATTACTGTTTTCGTGAAATTTTTATATGATATCGATTTGATTCTGTAAATCAAAATTTAATATTCTGAATTTTGATTTTAAATACCTATCGATTTATATACATGTGGGTATGTGGGTATAGTTAATTAATATAAATTATATTAAATTATTCTGTTTGTATCGATCGATCGGTATTTAAAACTTATTTAAAGRCCAGTGGCCAAAACCTCGCAGTTAACTAATTTCAATATATGTGAATACGATACATTCATAAATYAAATTTAGGTTTTATCACATTTTTTAAAAATCAGATTAAAACAAAAATTATACGTGGTTGTGCTATGCTAATAGACTGATTTAATATTCAACTTTAGCACGTTTCACTAAATCCTCACTGGTTTTACTTCAAAAAACTATCTTATTTTTATGTATAACGAACTWACCTCAAGTCCTTGACTCATTAAAACTTTGTTAGAATCTATCACCAACCTATTATAATTAATCGTTGCGTTACAATCAATATATACACTTGTTGGCTGTTGTTTGGCTGTTCAAAATAATGTTATATTATAAATACATAAGAAGAATAAGAAATCATATTTTAAAGCAACAAAAAGTAAATAATTCTTTAAAATAATATATTATACATAAATTATTTGAATATATTGAAGTACATTAAAATACAAATCGTACGTGGGATTTATACATAGGTATCAAGTTATAAGCTTAACATTTGTTGTTATTATAATTATTATAATTATTATTATTATTATTATTACTATCATTATTGCTTTACAGATATATTATATTAAACTATTATTATTATTATTATTATTATTGAAATATAATTAAACGTTCATACTTATGGATAGGCGATGTTATGAGGGAAATCTATATACTTGTTTTGTGATTAACTATTTAAACTCGATGGTGAGTACTGAGTAGGTATTGAATTACAATAGTTACCTAATTATTTCACTGTCTCTTTGGGAGCAGGAATATTGATCAAAATGACATAGCCTATAACTTATAATTGAATGCAACGTATGATGCGCAAATAAATAAAAATATTCGTGCTTAAAACTTTCAATTCAAATTAAAATTGAAAATGACTCAGTATGATTTTTGTCATCGTCTGATTTTTATATTTTACCGCACACAACAAAATACAGAGCACCGAAATTTAATGCAGTTACAAATAATTACGATCAGTTAAAGTATCTATAGTATATATAGATATTTTATTGAAAAGTAATGATTTTTTCAAAGACTGTTATTTATTTAATAACAACACCAAGCTTAAAAAACTAACTATGTATGTATTTCAAACAAACAATAGTGCATTTTTTTAAACATTTTGTTTATAAACGTTATCTATGGCTTAGAAAGAAGTCTAAACAAACAAAATATTATTTTAATAAAGCCTTAGTTAGGTAAATTTATTTCAAATGCTCAGCTGTTATTTAAAATTATATTGAAATAATTTGGCATTTCCATTTTTTAGCGTACTTACTTATTTCTTTTAGTTTTTTATTCATTGATTTGTAAAATATGAATAACTTTAATAAGCTACCTACCTACAGCTATAAAAGCGGACAAACTATTGCATTTATATTTTTATTCTATGTGGAAAAAAWCAATTACAACATATTTTTAATGAATAAAAATTTAAAATAAAAATTATTTTTAAGGCATGTATTCACATTTCTGGATATGTAGTCTATTGTAAACCTATTTAGGATAATAATTGTCAAAATATTTTCAGTAAAATAAAAACCTTACAAACTGATATGAATATTTGAGTTGTATAACTAAGTATGTATTACACAGTAGGTAATAGAACAATAAACAAACATCAATGTAATTAAATCTATTGATTCCTAAAATCCAAACAAATACAGCAGTACCAACTAAGTTAATAACTGATAATTATTTTGAGAGAACAATTTTACGAACCATTTTTCCATCTATTAAATACATTTATTTTTTAATGTTTAAGTGTTTTTTAATTGTAAAATTCTAATTTTCTAAGGGTACATATTTGAAAACCCCTTATATAATGAATAGAAAAATGTACTTATTCCATACCTAAGAATTTGCCTGATATATGAAAAAATTTAATAATAGAGAAATAGTTTTTATAAAGAATTATTATTAATTTTTTTTAAATATTTATGTATGTATAGTTAAATAAACAACAATTATTTACTAACAATTTTATATTATTATGAAAATGATTTGTTTTTTCCAGGTCCTTAAAATCCTCACTAGATTCTAGTCTAGTCTAGACTTCTTTGTCTTCTGACTCCTATACCAAAATTTTTTGAATTCCTTAACAAGCTGACCACCATGAATACCAATTAACACCAAACGGCAATCATAAGCTAACAAAATACATATATTATGAGATTTTCATACTATAATCAACAATGAATATTATCTGTGAACACGTATGAAGATGTAGACTTTAATAGAATAAAATACAATTTCAACTACTATAGAACACCGAACGATGACAATAATTCCAGTAATTTTATTTACACCATAATAATAGTATAATAGTGTCAATATAGGTGATGATTATAATTAAATATTTTATGAAACAACATAAAAACGTTTAGTTCATAAGATTATTATACAAACAAATAAGTACCAAGTATTCAAAGTAATGCGTATAGTATATGCTTTTTTTCAACAAMATAATCACGGGTTCAATTGTTTAATAGTTATAATAGTTATATTTAGTTGTGTCTAGATTTTTTGTTAAACTTGAAAATTCTAAAATCCCAAATGTAYAGTCCATTGCATTTGTAAAACTGAGTAGGGAAACAAACCTAATGGCATTCGGAATGCCGCATTCCTAACAATCTGCACAAGGATATTAAAACCCATCCCCTTAAATGATACTATTATAACACTAACGCAATTGTTAGAGTACACATTATGACAATTAAAATTGCCTACAGTTGAATTAAAGTTAAAAAAAAAAAAAAATTATTACATAAGTATTATTCTACAGGAAACAACTTCACTGARAAAAAATTTATAAAGTTTAGATTAAGGCTTTATCATACGGTACATTTTATTTATTCATTTTAATCACAAATAAGCCCAAAATCGAAAAAAATGGAGTTATGACGTATACGAGTTTGGCCTACAAATTGTATTTTACGATCTAAAACCTAACCTAACTATAGTTCGATAAACTTGGCTGTGAATTATTTTTCACACAYATAAACATTAGATGTTATTGATAAAGATAAATAAAATATAAATTTATATGTTAGAGTAAGTTAATAGGGCTTCCTAAATATTTTTAAAAAAAACCTCCAAGTGTCACAATTTTCAAATTGACCGCCGTTGATAAGAAGAGTCTTTATACCACGGTTACAACTTAATAATTTACTCACATGATTAATGATAATATGATAAAAGATATGAATTTTTATTCGTAGGTTTTCACTCTTCARCTTACTATCAGATCTGGTTTGCATAATTTCAGTTTTCAGTTTTTCACATTGTTGAACAGTTCAATTTTGAGAGTCAAGAATTAACTACCTATTAGTTTTTTTTATAATTTTAACTAATTATTAGATGTCTAGGTATTTCAGTTAATAAATACTGAACATTTTTTTGTACATCATCTTTGATCGAATGAATAGATTATTAATAGTGTGTTAATAGGTACCAAGCATAATTCTTCATTTATAGGAATAACAAATAMATTTGTGTAAAGATGTTTAGTTTAGTTAAACACTCTGCAAATAATTTAAACAAATGGTGTGTTTGTACAAAAATTATGGCCGTGCGGGGTTTAAAGTCCTGGACTGGTGGTATAAAATACCCTGGCTTTACATATTATCCWAGGTAAATTTTTTAATTTGTGTTATATTAAAAATATTAAAATGTTTAATTTTTATTTTTTGTATAAATGGTTTCAGARAAGGTGAAGTGGACCCACCATATACAGCAACAAAATTATTCATGGTTCAGAGAGTTAAACGTTATTTATATAATCCGTATTGGCAAAAAAAAATATTAACAGACATGGGCTTAGATCATAAAGTAATATACTCTAATTAAATCAGTTTTATACAATTTAAAAACGATCATTGGTATTGTGATTGTATAATATAGAATCATCCAAAATTTACTCATTACTACATTATCAAGAGGACAACATACTCGCATGTGTTGTTTTCGTCTTAGAAGTGCATTACATGGCAAATGTACGTTCAGCAAATCACATTTAGCTCCTTTAGTTTAAAAATTATAGCGAATTTGACCTCTTATAAAATTTAAGTACAAGARCATTATCTATGTTTGTAWGTTGGGTTTTTACGATAGTTCATTTTTTTAGCAAGTTTTGTGTTTTGTTTATTATATAGCGTAAATTATAAATGCTCAAAACACACTTAAAAACTTAACCATCATAAAAAAAAAAAGAAACAAACCCAGATAACCTTTACATTTTATAAGAGGTCAATTCAGTTTATTTTTAAACTAAAGGACCAAAACATGATCTGTAGAACGTAAATTTGCTATGTTACGCACTTGTAAGACTGAGATAACACATGTAGATATGGTATTCTCTTAAGCAATTTAAAAAAACAATGAATTGTTTTGTTTTATTGTGGTTAATAATTTTCATAAAAATCATGGTGATATCCAAATTCAGTTATATAGGTAGTTAATAAGACATTATTGATTTGGTGATGAAAAATTAAATTAATATAATTCATTAATTCTAATCATTTTTAGTATTCAGATTGAAATTAAGTATTATTGTGATCAGCCTGATTTTAGTAAAAATTGAATTTAAAAAAATCTTTAATTCATTTTATTTCACTACAGAATTATTTTTAGCTATATTTTATTGAAATGCATAAATAAATAATAATACTTCTTTTGTTTTAGGGTAGTGATATAGCTATTGTAAAAAATACACCAGAAATGAATGCACGATTATGGAAAGTTAAACATTTAATAAAAATTACACCAATACAAACACCTGACGGATTACCAGAAAAGGGAGATTATTGGGGTACACATTTAGATACTGAAGGTGTATTTAGAATTTCCAAGAAATTTTTACCCGATACTAAGCGATTAGAAGCAACTGAAGACTTTGAAAAATTGGCCAAGCGAGTAGATAAAGATACAGTGGAACAAAATTGTCGAAACAAGTGGTTGAATCCATGGTCAACTATTGTATAATGTACAATTATTGTTTTTTTTTTTTTGTAGTATATGAAATACTTAAATATAATTTGTTTTCAATTGATTTTTTTTTTTTAAGTTTATTTAATTCAATAAATTGAAAAGCATATTGTAATGCTAATGAATAAAATAAACATAATTTTATCAATATTATTTCTAATTAACTTTGGTTGTAGTTGCTAATACTATTAGCATAGAACAACATGCTATAATTTAAAYATCACAAACTTTGTTTTTATTTTTTTTTTAGATATGGATAGAGTCTAGATAGGTAATGAAATTTCTAAGAATTATTTTAGTAGGTGATATAATAATTTCTTTTCTGAACATCAGTCAATTTTTCGGGCTGCAGGTTGGAGACCCTGCATTAGAGTATAGCTAATTATTTATGGCTACCTCACATTTTTTTTTAATCTCAGCTAATAATTCTTGTTAAGATTTTGAGTTAAGAGTACGTCGCACCCGCATGTGTTGTCTTCGTCTTACACACGTACGACATAGGAAATGTTCGTTCGCTAGTTTCAATAGGGTATTATCAGTTTTGATATTAGAGTGAATCCACCTATTATCAAACGTTTAGGTAGCAACATTATCTGTGTTCTCTCGTTGGTTTCTTACGATATTTTAATTTTTAAGTGAGTTATGGGTATGTAAATTATGAAATTTTAAAATGTTCATAACTCATTAAAAATTAAAATATTGTAAAAAATCAACGAGAGAACACAGATAATATTGCTACCTAAAAGTTTGATAATAGGTGGATTCACTCTAATATCAAAACWGACAATACCCTATTGAAACTAGCGAACAAACATTTCCCATGTAGTACGKGTGTAAGACGAAGACAACACATGCGGGTGCGAYGTCCTCTTAACTTTTCAAATCATAATCAAAATTATTTTCATGATTTTGATGAAATCAGTAAACATTTGTAACTTAAAATAAAAATTGTCATTGTTTTTTTTTTTTTACTAATACGCCTCAACTACCGGTGTTATTGGCATTTCAAAATACATATTAAAGTTTACTTAATTTTTACAAAATAATAAATTCTATATAGGTGAAAAATTGATACAATAAGTTTTAAGAGAAATATGTTTACATTTTGTGTGATATTCTAAGTTTTGCTAATGCTATATATTTTATGCAGAAGGTTTGTCTCTTTGAGAAATTCTAAAAGTGATGATGTTCTCTCTTCGTTTGATGCAAGTATTTTACACAGATTGTTGGGGAGCATCAGTTTGTGTCTGGCGTCTTTTGTGAGGAGGCATTCAGTTAAAAGGCATTTTACTGTGATCGCGGTGTTACATGAGGTCCATATCCGTTTTTCCTTTTTGTTCATTAAATGCTMATGAGTGTATAATGTGTGGCCAATTCGTAGTCTGTAGATGATTTGATGTYTGCATGGGAGTGACATATCGTACATCCAAGGGAGTGTGGTGAATTTAATTAGCGTTTATTTGATTTTTGTTTCGAAATGGGTTGTAATATTCCAGAATTCGATTTGTTCTTTAGTTGCTCTTTTGGCTATTTCGTCTGCGGTTTCATTACCTGGTATACTGTTGTGTCCAGGTACCCATATGTATCTGACGTCTATATTGATTATGAATAGAATGTTCAATATTTGGGTGCAAATAGGGTTGTCTTTTTTGGGATTTACTAAGTTTTTGAGAGCAYTGAGAGAGTCAGTGTATATGATTGACTATCTGAGGTGGTGACTAATTCTGTGTATTTTAAAAAWGCTAGATATTCTGCTGTGTAAATGGAGTTGTAAGCTGGGATCTGAAGCGCTGTTTGAGAGTTTGGCTGAATTAAATTGTCATTGTATTTTCAATACTTTAGTCACTTTAAAAAAAAATTTAATGAGTTATGAAGAACCATGTATTAAAATTTTCAAGCTAT